TCAACAAGGTAGCAGAAATCTGATTCAGTGGGTTCTGGTTAAAGACGCTATCTGATTCAGGAGGTTCCGAGAGCTTACCGGTTCAGGTTGGAAAGTTATGCTTGTCATCTGACGGATCGTCGGTTGCTGGTTCAAGCGATGTTGAGGGTTTGTTCGAGATGAAACAAGTAGAAGAGTCAGTTTTACTGACATGCAAAGGAGAAGCTTAAAAGCTTAAAAGGAGAAGCGATTCGAAAGGTGAAGTTGAAGAGATTTACCTGTTAAAATCGTCTTCAAAGGTTGCTGTAAATTGAAATCAAGAAGAAAAGGGTCAGTTTTTTGGCTGATTAGATCGGAAAAGAGAAGACTTGAGATTCTGGGTCAGGATTGAAAAAGTTTTTTATGGATTGTCGTCTGATGTATCTGGTGATTTTGGGTCTTCGGGTATGAAGGATTCAGGAATCAAAGATCAGAGGTGCAACGGTAGAGATTTCCGATCAGGTTTGGTGGTGGTTGTGACGGTGAAGTCACGAACAGATTCTGGTCGATGGTCGGCTAGGGTTTCGCAGGGGAGATGAAGAGATGTTGTGTTCGGGATTCGACAAAACAACAAAGGTGGAGATTTGTAGAGATGTTGTCGTTTTGGCTCTTTGGATCCGAATGGGCCTGCGAATCAATTGGGCCGAAAACAGAAACAAAGCCCAAAGCCCAAAGCCACATCTTCTTAGTCAAACCTGCAAATGGAATAGGGTCAACAGAATCATCTTCTTCTTCCTTCGAGACGTGAAGTAACAGAGAGAGAGAGAGAAGAAGACTTACCCAGAAGCAGAGAAAATCGTGAGGTTCAGAGCTAGAGAAAGCATATTCGAGTCAGAGATTGATCGAATCAGAAGCTCCATTGCTTTGGATCTTCGGGCTGTTGTCTCCGGAAATTACTCCGATTGGTGAATCGGTGGCTCTCCAGTAAAGTCGAAAGTTCTGCTTCGGTGGAGGAGCTAGCTGTTTCCGCTACAAAGCTTGCCTATAAGAAACAATCAATTGAAAGGTTAACACATGTTGAAATCAATTGAGCATAGAGAGATCAATAACTCTCTGTTTCTTATACAATATCATTACCTTGATAGTGAAAGCTTGGTGGTTTCGATCCACCCCTAGAGAGTAGATCCGCGAACTCTGGGTGATCAATTTATTTGTCTCATTTTGCTTTATGCTTTGCGATTCAATAACTCATACACATAAACAAGAATTCGATCAGGTCATCTTAAGCAAATCACAGAAACCAGAAATTAAACTTAACATAGATAAAAACCGATTCTTTAGGATTCTCAATCTCTGAGAATCTTCTAGTCGTTACATTCTCAATCTCTGTGGTTCATCGAACCGTTCAAAATTTTGCAATCATATAAGCAAAAAAATGAAAAATTCCAAGAAAAAAGGAGGAAACTTTAAGACTCATCGAATTGAAAAACATTTCTAATTTCTCAACTTTATGATAATACTCATCACTAGACAAGAACCCTAATTTACTAATACCAAAAAACCCAGATTTCTTTTTCAAAAAAAAAATCCAAATTTAACAGAATTCCACAACCCATTTCCTTTAGAATTCTCACGCTTTCTCTGCTTCTCAATTTTTTTCTCTCCTAAATCACTCTCACAACAATGCACATAAACTCTATCAGATGATCCAAAAATTTTCCTTGTTCATATCGCAAGAGAGAGAGACGCGAGAGAAAATA